CCCTTTGCATGGGTTCTCAGTATATGTTTTTGGTTAGTCCAGCAGGTCATGTTCTTAGTCAAGTTTTAATAAACGCTTTTGTCCTTTTTCCTTGTCATGTACTATAGGCATTTAATTATGATATCAGAGATCAATGATCCTTACATTTATTTTCCTAGATCCTATCAGTCAGTGACATCCCTCTGAGATGCTTTCTTAGCAGTTTTGCCCTTCAACTGTAACTCCTGTTCCTCTATTTCTTCATTAATGATCATGAAGTGCTTACATTAATGCTTAAGGAAAAATATTACATGTAAGATAGTTCCATTAATTTAGGAACAGGGACAGTCTATTTAGACTCCCCTTTCCTTGTTCAAGGAGTAGAACATTTTTCATTTTGATAAATGAACTGCCTTGTTTATAATTTTTTTTACTAACGAATAGAAAATAATTTGTTAAATAAAAATGGCATGACAAAAAAGTGTGACATTCACTTATTTCATATTGAAGCAAATGAATGCAACATGAAGTGATTTTACTGAACTGTGACAACAAATTTTAAAAATTCAGATTTGAGAGCTGTGATACCTTGGAGTTCGTTAACCAGATACAGATCCTTTTGCCTCTAATCCTGGTTTCAAAATAACTCAGATTGCTAGCAAACAAAAGTTGTTCATGGTGGATAGCTATGCAGTGAAATGAAATGCCAAAGACATTCACACTTAAAAGTCCAATATTGCCACAATTGATAGTCTTGGAGGTGGGCTGTGAGTGGAGACTAAGGGTACATCTAGACTACATTTTGACAAGCTGGGGACCAACCACTTAAGTAGTAGTTCACCAGAAAAGGACCTGGGGGTTACAGTGGATGAGAAGTTGGATATGAGTCAACAGTGTGCCCTTGCAGCCAAGAAGGCTAATGGCATATTAGGTTGCATTAAGAGGAGCATTGCCAGCAGATCCAGAAATGTCATTATTCCCCTTTATTCGGCTCTGGGGAGGCCATATCTGAAGTATTGTGTCCAGTTCTGGGCCCCCCACTACAAAAGGGATGTCGACGCATTGGAGAGGGTCCAGTGGAGGGCAACCAAAATGATTAGGGGGATGGAGCATATGACTTATGAGGAGAGGCTGAGGGAGTTGGGTCTGTTAGTCTGAAGAAGCGAAGAGTGAGGGAGGATTTGATAGCAGCCTTCAACTTCCTGAAGGGAGGTTCCAAAGAGGATGGAGAGAGGCTGGTCTCAGTAGTGACAGATGGCAGAACAAGGAGCCATGGTCTCAAGTTGTGGTGGGAGAGGGCCAGGGTGGATATTAGGAAAAACTATTTCACTAGGAGGGTAGTGAAGCACTGGAATGGGTTACCTAGGGAAGTAGTGGAGTCTCCATCCCTAGAGGTGTTTAAGTCTTGGCTTGACAAAGCCCTGGCTGGGTTGATTTAGTTGGGATTGGCCCTGCCTAGAGCAGGGGGCTGGACTTGATGACCTTCTGAGGTCTCTTCCAGCTCTATGGTTTCATGATTCTATACATTCTTCTTTCGACAGAGGGATGTAAATTAGACACTTTGAAATTGCAAATGAAGCTGGGATTTGAATTTCCTGTGCTTCATTTGCATAACCGTGTCAAGGCGCTCTTTTGAGAAAGCGCTATTTTGAAAGTGAAACTGCAGTCTAGGTCAGGTTTACAGGATCTTTCGAAAAAGGCTTCTATTTTCAAAAGAACCACATCTAGACTGTGGTTTCACTTTCAAAATAGCGCTTTCTCAAAAGAGCGCCTTGACACGGTTATGCAAATGAAGCACAGGAAATTCAAATCCCGGCTTCATTTGCAATTTCGAAGTGTCTAATTTACATCCCTTTGTCGAAAGAGGGATGTAGTTTAGACACACCCTAAACTGGCAAGGAGAATAAAATATCCCTTGCAGTATATGGAGCACAGCACACTGTTACTGAAAAACAGCTTTTTTCTCCTTTTTACCAGATATTTTCTCATTTTTATCATATAATTATAACATACATTTTTTGGAATATAAATATTGTACTTACGCTTCAGTGCACAGGGTGTATATCTATCAGAAGGGTAGCCGTATTAGTCTGAATCTGAAAAAACAACTAGATGTCCTGTGGCACCTTATAGACTAACAGATTTATTGGAGCATAAGCTTTTGTGAGCAAAGACCCATGAGGATGCATCTGACAAAGTGGGTCTTTGTCCATGAAAGCTTATTCTCCAATAAATCTGTTAATCTATAAGGTGCCACAGGACTTCTCAGCATGTATATCTAGTAGCATAAACCAGTCATTGTATGAAATTATAGTTTGTACTACCCGTGCTGTTCATGTAGCATGTTGTAAAACCAGGCAAATATTTAGATGAGTTGATGTACCTCCTGGAAGGCCTCTGTGCCCCCCAAAGGTACATGTGCCCCTGGCTAAGGATCACTGTAGCCCTTCCTAATGTGAATACTAAAGCCATTCTTTCTCTTGAGAGTGCTGTGACTAAACTAGGGTGGAAGAGGGGGCGGAGAGAGAATAAGAGGTGCCCTTGGCTGGCTGCAGAGTCTGCAGCAGCTAAAGCAGGTATTTGCTGACATGGACCAGGGAAGCAAGAGTATAGCTTCTGGATGACTACCAGGACTCAGTTAAGATGGGACATACAGTTGAAGACAGGTGGCTGCTACTGGGCAGGGACTTGGAGTAGTGAGAGGGTCTGACTCTCCTCTCCATCCCTTGACTGTGCTCTGAGAGAAAGGAGATTACAGGCCCAGGAAAGACTCTCTTTGGACCTGTTACCTCCCACCCCAGATGGGGGCTGAACTGAGGCTGACTGAGCTGGAGAGCTGGGGTCAGATGACTAAAGAGCCGGCAAGGATCCTCCCAGGAGGAAGCTCTGGAGGTGCCACTTCATCCCAGAGCTGTAATCTTTGTGCATAAACTGTCCAGCCAGGGTACTAAGGCTACGTCTAGATAGCAGAGTTTTTCTGGGATACCTTCATCCTCTGGTATCCTAGAAAAACTCTGCCACATCCAGGGAACCCGTCTGCTTTTTCAAAATAGTTTCTGAAAAAGTGGGTGCGTTCTTTCAGCATCCCTGTATTACTCATTTTTATGAGGAATAAGGGATGTTCCAAAAGAGGAGGTTTTTCCCACATGTGGCCCCGTGTAGATGGCTGTGACAAGTTCGTGCCAGGGTGGGTTGAGAGGACCCTTGTGCTGGCCCCTCCCCTGACCAAGCACCAGTCTTGGGTAGTTCCCCCACCAGTAACTGCCCAGAACAGTCTCAGCAGTCCATAGACCCTTGCATGCAGGGAGGGTAGGACCCTAAGAAGCCCAGGACCCTAAGAAGAGGAGCACCAGCGTCCTGCTCGGCCTGCGGACTGAGCTTCAACTCACCGGCCCCCAGGCTCCTTCACTGCCTTGTCCTGAGCTGCTTCCTCCCCTCCCACGCTGGCTCACGGAGCCACCCAATGCTCACCATACCCCCTGGCTCGGGGTGACGTTTCCCTTCCACGTCAGCTCATCCATGGTCCTCCCTCGGGGCGAACTCCCTTGCCCTTGCTCGATGCTCCTCCTTACCTCTGGGGCTTCTCTTTTCAAAGCCAGAGCCCATCTCAAAGGACGCCGGCACATGCGCTCTGCCACCCGCTGGCTTGGGGTTACTAGGCACCCCAGTGCAGGCGCGAGCGGCGGCTGCTGAGCACCCCCGGCTCAGCTGCATGCATGTCTCGGCACCGGCGTAGAGCACTGGGATAGTGTGGGGTACGGGGTTCTCCCCTTCAGTACCTGCCACCTCGTCACAATGGGCCAAATGTCAGAAAAGCCCCTTTTGAAAAAACAAAGGGAAAAAGGTACGCAAATTGTGGTTCACAATTGGCGTATTTTTTTCTGAACTTCCCCTTCTTCCCCCACAGTGTAGACATAGCCTGAGAGAAGCCCTGTTGATCAGACTGAGGACTGGAGCCCAAGGACAGCTAAAGAGACATTGCCAATGGAAAGGTACCATGATAGTCCCACTTGGACTATTAAAGGACCGAGTTCACAGAAGACTGTAGGACATTTTAGACTTATACATCAGCATGGGTTGGTTGGTTTGCATATGGACTGTTTGTGAATCAGTCAGAGAGCTGAGTCACCAAAGACCTGCTTGACAAGAGCAGCTGCCAACAGGGGGTACCATGAGCCAAGAAGCTGAGAAAAAATTGCAGGCACACATATACACACACACACAACCAGGGGGAGATTGTAAGAGGTGGGTGCCTCCATTTACAAGTACCTATTCCTGTTGATTTCAACAGAAGTACATACATTACACAGTTACAGGATCAAACCCTGTTGGACTTTTAGATGTCAGTGTTATTTCATTTTGTTCTTATTTCATATCAACAACCACTCATTTTAAATCATTATTGAAGAGAGTAACTGCATGAAGTTGTAGTTAATCTTTCATGCTCTAAAATAATGTACAAACTGAAACTTGAGGTAGTGCTTTTCATTATAAATTCAGAGAAAGCAGATACCTTGGGACTTCGAAAGGGGCCAAAATGAGTTATGCACCCGGCCCTCAATGATTTTCATCCCCTTTGAAATCTCAGTCCTGCATATTAATATTGCAGTTAGGAAACCTACTATCTACTAATGAATATCATTAGTGAATAAGTTTCTGGACATAATACCAATTTAATTATTAGAATACTACTAATAAAATATTTCTATGAAGAATCCTAATGTTGCCATTAAGCATTATATAGAACAGAGATAATTTTCATCTGAATCTATCCAAATTATATACCTTTTTACCATGATGGTGAAATCACATGCATTAATCCCTTCGCTTATGGTACTTCAATGATTCAGCCTGAAGAGGCTCAGTAGTGCAATTTAGGGTATGAAATCACCCCAAAGTATGTGATGAAACCAAATATCCATATGCAATGACCATTAATTTCAATGTGAATGCATGTATGTATCAGTATTTCAAGTGTAGTTGTAGGGCTCTGTATATAAATGTTCTCTATTTGTTCCCAGGTTTCGCTTCTGAAGTCAAAACCATCAAGAAGTATCACGCGCTCGAATTGGCTTTCACAATATTTCCTCCTGCTGGTTCAAAGCAGAACACTGTAGCTGTTTCAAAGTCAACCTGGGTGCAGCCCATAGTAGATGGAATTGATGGATATGGATATCTAGGTACAAATTTAAAAGCTATGTTGTGGTGGTGAGAGTGAGAGACCCCTTATGGAGGATCTCTGGGCACCTTGGTATAGAGCTATGTAGCTGCTGTTCTCTGAAGTGGAATGCTGGGAAGGGAAAAGAAGTAGAATGGGCATCTTAGATTTCTGATAGCATTGTGCTTAATGATTGGGGGGACAAAAGCACCTTATTGCTGTGATGATATCATTGCAAAGTCAATCGAAATAGGCTCTGAATGCCTCAGAGTAGAGTGGTCACTTTCCATGACAGCAGAGGAGTATGCTTGAGGCGCGATGTGACCCGCAGCTGGTGGCTTTGTTATGTGAATGCATTGGCTGCAAACCTTCGCAGGGGGAGAAGGAAGTGCAAAAACAAAAAGAGCAACTTTTTTACTCATTACAGAATGCAATAGTAGTTTCAGAGTAATTTTGCTGGTGCTCTGGATCTTCAGAAGGAGGACTCTTTCTGTACTCATCCCCTGTGAGTTTCCCTATAGAAAGCATTTGTAGTTTTGGCTCTGTGTGTGAGAATCCACAAGGCTAAAATTCCACATGGCTCACATCTGCTCATACTACATCATGCAGCAGCAACACAACTGTCTGTTGAAAATGGCATATTAGGACTGAATGTCTTGTCATTCTCTCCCCCACCCTTTCTGAAAAATTTCCCAAGCTTATTAATTAGACTATGAGCCAATTTCCAAGATTTGATCCAAAGTAGCAAGGATGCTGTACAGAAGAGTTGAAATCTAGAGCACAGGAAGATGAACACATGCAGCTGTATGGCTGAGCCTCTTACAATAAGGAATAAGGATCTTGTGCAAAAAGGGGTTCTTGCGCAAAAAGGAAATGTCCACACTGCTTGTTTTTGCACAAAAACCCCTTGCGCAAAAATGGCTTGACTAGATTATGCAAATGAAGCAGGATAAAATGCTAATCAGTGCTTCATTTGCATACTCTGCCGGCAAAAGCCAGCAATGTAGGCAAAGTCTAACAGTCACAAGCTTGTTGTTGAAAACCAATTGTGAGAAGATCCTTTTGAATCAGGAGATGCATAGCTGTTTCTTTCGCTAAACACATAAAATAGCACTGTTATGTAAATTGCTAGGTCAATTTACACCAACTGGGGATTGGGGCTTTTGCATGTATGTGTGGTTAGGATAATAAAACGGGCAGGCATCTATAGTATTTCACTGTTTGTATTGAAGTAGATTGGTAGATTTGTCTAGGCAATAGCTTCATGTTTAATATGTTTATTTAGATCTTCGATAGAACATTAGTGTGTTAAATTGAGATTATAATATAGATAAGAATGATACAGAAGACAAAAGTGGACCTTCAAATGAGATTATGTTGTATATGGTAAGGGCTACTTTTGGAAGCTTTTATAGTTTTTTCTAAGTGACCATCATATTGTATCTTTTTGACTTACAGTGGTTATTAAACTGGCTGACAAGAGAGATGCAGCAGTTGCCTTGAAAAGAGATTAGTCTATTAAAGGAGGACTTTCTATAGCTCAGTGATTCCTCTTCCTATAAACATTTTAGGAAAAATAGCCCTGGAAATTTATTGTGTATACTCATAAAAACTGGTACAGAATCCAGACATAACAACAGCTTTTTTCATTACTATTGATTTTGTTTCTGAGGCTTCTGAGATGTGTTGAACTTTCATCTGATAATTGAGTAGCAATGAATACACAGTTATCTGCTGATTTGCAGGAAGTAAAGTTTCATGTGATTTAAATAAATAGAAATGAACCTGTAAAATTATTTTCAGAGTACAATAGCTTTACTCATCTCTTTAATCAATATGGCATGTTTTGGGAGACTATTGCATAATGCTTTTTTCATTTATATTAACTGATATTGCTCCCACATTTCCTACTGGGTAATGTGTTAACATCTCTTTTTATTAAGAACAAGTGACCTTCACTGAATTTTTGAATTGGAAAGCGACAGAAAATACACAGTTCTACCTAAAATGTGTTATTTTCATAAAGTGACTTTTTCAGCTCAACGCATTTGCTATCTTGCATATTCAGAGTTATATCTGATCACTTTTCTGATTAAGGAGTCTGATAAATCCCCTGTATTCTCCCCTTATCTAGCTATGTTTTGATTTTAGAATTCTATCACTGGCATTGTGTGAGCCAGAAAATGAAGCTTAAGGCTTATCTTCTATATTGTTTGCAGAACTAGCAATAATTTGTATTAATTTTAATTAATAAAATCTTTACTTTTTAGTTGTGAACCAGGCAGATTTGATAAAGCAATCACTTGGATGCCATACATTTGGAATTAAGCAATTCCATTTTTACAATCAGTTTTTCAGTGTAGAGAGGTACTTAGGGTTAGAATTCTTTGAATGCTTAGTTTTCTGTCAAGGATCTGAGGAAGGCCATTTTGGTAGGGGGGAATAATCAATTATCTTGCTGGGACAAAGCAATACAATAACTTAACTAAAAACACTTTTAAACATTAGAAAAACTGATTATTTTTTCCCCCAAAAGTAATTACATTTCTCTCTAGATGAATAAACAGTGCACACATAATTTTCTATATGATCAAGATTTGAAAGCGATCTTTTTCTAAGAAAATTGCATTTGCTTTTCACAGAGCCAGAATGATTCTTTTATGTGAATAAAGGCAACTTGCGAGTGAGGGGATGGCTAACTAACAAGCAGTATTACTCATCTTCATCTTCATTTTCTTTTCTTTTTTTTTCTTGATCTTGGATGGGGAAGGAGGAGTGGGTTCATTCTCTTAAAGAGAATGGTTAGAGTTATTCCCTTATTTTAACCACATCATTTTCTCTCCTCTGTTGCTGAACCCACCATTTATTCTTTTCTTTTGGAATTTCATCAATACATTTTTACTAAATTCCATTATGTTTCTAGTATATACTACACAGTAGCAAAGTTCCCCAAGTCAGTGACAGAAGGTACACATGGAATTGGTTGATAGAATATCCTTACAATATTAAAGGGGAGACTGGGATGATTTCCCACCTTCTGATGGCATCCTCCTCCTCCACACCTCACTGAATTCTACTACTTTTCAGGGATTATTTCCCCCTATTCCCATGAAATAATTACAGAAGTGCAAAGTGTTTATCTTTGAGACCAAGAGCCTGATTTAATTTCTCACTGAAGTCAATGGAAAGACTTTGGATCAGAACACAGATGTGTGCTTTAATTAATATTCCATTAAAGACTTTACTCTGCAAGATCTTCTTCAAGCTTTCCTTCCACTTTCATGTTATACATGTTAAAACACTGTGCTCTGTTATGCACTTTAACTTTTTCCATGGAAAAATATACATAGTTCCAGCAAGTACATTGACTAAGGCCTTAGCTACACTACACTGGGGATCAACGCTGTAGACTTGATAAATCGATCTCCAAGAGTTCTCCTGTTGATGCTGGTACTCCACCAAGAAGAGAAGAGTAGCTGGTATCAAAATGAGAGCAGTCCCCATTATCCTTACCGCACACAAGATGATACAGTGAGTGTGTCAACTGTAGCTATTCTATTTGTGTAGCTGAAGTAGATTGATGGTACAGGTAAGTATAGACAAGGTATAAGATTGTTTGCTAGGAGGCATAGCCTGCTTGATTGTTCATTACATTGAGGAAATGGCTTTGATCCACTGGAAAAATAATTACATAGCTGCCAGTCTGTCACCTTCCTTCTCTGCAAGCACACATACCACTGCTACAAGGATTGTGTCACATGGAAAGGAAAATTGTAATAGGAGCCCCCTTATTCAGTGATTGTCAGAATGCTATTGTTCTATAGGGCTTTTGGAGAAAAGGATGCTTAACCTGATATGTTCCTGAGAAACACATCCACTACCCATGTTGACTAAGGTGAATTTTCTAATTAATAAACGTTTTGCTGAAAAATCCCAAACCAGCTGTGGACACACATTGCTGTAGAGTCAGACATAGCAAGGAAGTCAAAACCTCTTATGTATCCACTCTTACACGAAAGAACACAAGGCGAAAAGCAGGCAAATGTAGGCAGATGTCTAGCAAATCTGAGAAAGCACTGATTTAAGTTCAATCTTCAGCATGGAAAAGAAACACTTAGTGAAGAGAGAGCTTCTTTTCCCTTATCCTTATTATTACTTGGAAGTCACTTGCTGTCTATATTGCAGTGCTCTCATTAATGTTGCAGATCATAGCTCATTTATGAAATTGTGTTTCATGCCACTAGAGAGAGCACTTTACATCTTTGCACTATGACCTGAACTGATTATCAGCTGAATTCTAGGAAAGTTTGAAGATTTGGCTTTAATCTAAAAAGTCCTAAATATTTCAGGTCATGGCTGCTTGAGACATTTCCTCCTTCTCAATTTGGTTCCACAATAATTGTGATTTTCATTTGTGGTCAAATTAATTTTCTTTTACTTCAGATCAGAAAAAATATGTACTTGTGGTCACTATTATGTATACATAGGGATTAAGTAATTTTTGACAGATTTCATCTCTACTTCTGTTTGCAGACTGTTCTAGAAAAAGGTATACTTGTCTTGAATTTTAACATATAAACTTTAATGCCAGAAAGGACAATTTTGATCTTCTAGCCTGACCGTCTGCACCCTGCAGGCCCCAGAACTTCACCCAGTCATTTCTGTAAGAGACCCACAACCTTTGGCTAATATAATGAGTTGTCAACGGTTCTTGAATATCTTAATATCTGAAATCCAAAATTTGAAATTTGAGCTATGTTTCATAGTTCTGACTATTTGGACTAAACTTCTTCCCATGCTCAACAACTTCTCCCCCCACACTCCAAGGGTATGTCTACACTACCACCCTAGTTCGAACTAGGGTGGTAATGTAGGCAAGCGGAGTTGCAAATGAAGCCCGGGATTTTAATTTCCCGGGCTTCATTTGCATAAAGCCGGGCGCCGCCATTTTTAAATGTCCGCTAGTGCGGACTCTGTGCCTCGTGGCTACACGCGGCACGGACTAGGTAGTTCGGACTAGGC